CCCCTCTTGCTCCATAAGCAAACAGCCCTCATATGTCATACCATCTTGTATGAGTCTATTAAAGAAAGAGGTGCTTTTTGTAGCTCTCTCAAAGGCTTTTCTCCTAGCACCCTTAGGCAACAGGAGGAAGACCTCTCACTCTTTCTGCCCCATCTCACATTCTTCTGTGCTGAGGTTTTCAACAAAGGACTTAGAGCAGGCAAGAGGACAGAATGAAAGGTCATGGTCCCGCCAGCCCCCACGACTCAGCCTGGGATGAACGCAGCTACTACACTGGCCCCTTTATAGGAGCAGAAGAATACATAGCTTAAGCCATTCTCCTGTCTTTTCCAAAGATCCAAAGGTTCTCAATGTCTTGGGCATGAGTTTAATTCTTTGGTGCCTCTAACCCAGTGCCTTGTCTGTGAAAAGCAAATGTCTTCGGGAACCATGCAAACAGACCCAGACTGTGCTGTGCCGAGGACCTCATTTGAATGAAAAGAGGGACATTCTCAGGGACTGTCCTCTGAAGGCCATCCAACATCCACCCTGGCGATCAGGGTCTCTGGGAGCCTGAAGTGGCCATTGCACCAGGGCTCAATATTCCACCAAAATGAAGCTCAGGCTTAATGCTTCCTCCTGTTACTACCTCAGCCTCAGACCTCAGGTGCCCAGGCAGTATGGGTGACAGCGTGGTCCCTGTCCTGTTCTTCTAGTCTGGCAAGTGGCTGGATTCGCATCAGACAGGTTGGCCAAAGACAAACATCAAAAGGAAGTTCAACGAGAACTATAAGCCTCTGGTACACAGGGCTAAAGCAATAGTCCAAGAGGGTAGGATGTTTGTCTGGCACATGGCTGACCTGGGTTCGATCCCCAGCATACCATATGGTCTCCCAAGCAACACCAGGAGTAATTCCTGAGTGCAGAGCCAGGAAGAACCTCTGAGCATTGCTGGATGTGACCCCAAAGCAAAAACAAACAAAACAAATAAAATAAATGACGTGTGTGTGTGTGTGTGTGTGTGTGTGTGTGTGTGTGTGTGTGTTTAAAGCCTCTGGTACACAGGGAGAGAATGAGTCAGAGTAACCCACCTGGTGAATAACTTCCACCATGAGGGTGTGGGAGGCACCAGGAAAGGCTCAGTGAGCAGGATTAAGATGGTGACACAAGCTGGTGCCTTCTCCACTGATGAGTTCAAGAGATTTCATCTTTGGCGTGCAGAGGAAAGCCTCTTACAAAGGGAGATTTCTCTTTATAATTGTAAATGTCTCTTACCCAAGAGCTCCCTCTACTCAGTTTTCAGACCTCTCCTCAGAAACAATGGTTAGGCCTAGGAGATAGATTTGGGGGTACGAAACTCCCCATAGTAGCCTTGTAGGAAGTTGCCCACTGGGCCGTCCATCTTGGACTTCCTGTAGGCCCTGAGAAGATGTGGCTATTAGCTGGCTACAGAAGTTAAAAAAGACAAGAAAAAGAGAAACAGATGGTGAGTGTTGAGCTCTCCAAGTCCTAAGCATGTCACTCCCTGGGAAGTTACACCAAAAAGAAAAGCAAGAAAAGATCAAAACAGACGGAACTGGGCCCCCCCTTGACCTTGAAAACTGGGGGAGGGAGAAGTGGGCGGTCTCTCCAGGATCTGCAGGCTCAGCGAGGCGTTTTCCTTTGGCAACGCTTTCCTGGTCAGCCTACATCACCCCCACCCCCAGGAACTGAGAACTCTGGGGAGGGGGAAGACACAAGAGCCATATGGAATTCTCTATTTTTTCCCTCATACCATCTGGTTTGGGATCTAAGTACAGAATGGCAACTGCATGGGTTTAGTAGCCAACAAAGTCTCCAGGCAACTCAGGAGGCAGTCACATGGCTGGGTCGCCCCCCTGGGCTACAGTTTTCAGACTTTGCTAGCAAGTTCTCAGCACCTGCCTGCCCCCCACCCCACACTTTAGTGGGTTCCAGGTTGGTGCCATGGAAGTGGATTTTCCCCAGTGACCGCAGGCAGTGCACACAATGAGTTCCGACTATGGAAGGATGGAGGCAGATTCCAGGTCTGGGAAGAAGAGGCTAGAAACCAAGGCCAGTGATATTGCTTTCCCCATTCTGACAGGAACCCCCTCGATCACGGGATTCTCCCTTGCAGTCAACAACTCCTCGCACTCGCAGCAATACAAAATGAGTGGAGATTTATAGTTTCCCATCATGCCATTCCAGAATTCCCCAAAGTCCAAAAAACAAGGAATTTGGGGAGAAGGTTGGCGGTGAACTTATCTTGCAATGAAACCTGGTCTAGTCAAAATATAACTTGCCCTTAGACCCAACCTGAAGGGACGGCGGCTGCCCCAGACTTCATCTATCTGCCTCCAGATTTCCAGAAAGATCCGAATGTTGGACCTGCACCAGATAGCCTGTGGGATTGGAGAGCACAACACAATGGTCCAGGTTATCTGCAAAAACCCACCTTGACTTAGAAACAAATTTGACCGAGAGGGGCTGGAGTGGTAGTACAGGGGGAAGGACGTTTGCCTTGCATGCAGCCGACCCAGGTTTGATTCCCAGAATCCCATATGCTCCCCCGAGCACCCCCAGGAGTAATTCCTGAGTGCAGAACCAGGAGTAACCCCTGTGCATCGCCGGGTGTGACCCAAAAAGCAAAAAAAAATTTTTTTTTTGACCCAGAGGTTTCAAAAAACAAATTAAGTTTTGTATTTTTCTTTTTAGCTATACTGTTGCCCAGCATGTCTGTATTCAAGTGCTTGGTTGTGGGTCCAAAGCCCAAAATTTTAGTCTGTAGCACTATAGTACGGTCCTCCCATTGTTCATCAATTTGCTCAAGTGGGCACCAGTAATATCTCCATTGAGAGACTTGTTGTTACTGTTTTTGGCATATGGAATACGCCACGGGAAGCTTTCTAGGCTCTGCCATGCAGGTGGAATAATCTCGGTAGCTTGCCGGGCTCTCTGAGAGGGATGGAGGAATCAAACCTGGGTCGGCCGCGTGCAAGACAAATGCCCTACCCGCTGTGCTATTGCTCCAGCCCAGTGCTCCTATAACTGCTCAGCAAATGGAAAATTCTCTTCAGTGTTCTCTCTGGACTGATTTGGGTACAGAGCAAGAGTACTCTACTGGCACCAGAAGGGAGACTCATAAAAATTGCTATCTTGAAACTGGAATGACAGTAGTGGGGGTAGAATGTTTGCCTTGCCCAAGGTAGACCTGGGTTTTATCCCTGTCACCGGATATGACCTCCCAAGTTCCATCAGGAGTGATCCCTGAGCACAGAGCCAGGAGTATGCCCTCGTCACTTCTGGGTGTAACCCAAAAGCACAAACAACAATGCATGATTTAAGTATGTAATGCAACAGTTTCAAGCAAATTTACAGACTGTGCTACCATTACCACACTCTGTTTTAAAACAGTCCTCCTGGAGCCCAAGTAAAAATACAGAGGCTAGGGCATGCGCTTTGCACATGACTGACCTGGGTTCTATCCCTGCCAGCCCATATGGTCTCCAGAGCACTGTAGGAGTGATCCCTAATTGCAGAGCCAGGAGTAAGTTCTGAGTACCAGCAGGTAGGCCCAACCCCGCACCCCAAAAAGAATAAAAGCATCCCCAAAGGCCCCTTTTGCCCAATGGCAATCCTCCCCTTCCCCACCCTTCATTTATGAAGTTGCCAATGCCAGACATTTCCTATCAGTTGAATCTAACAGTGCTTGGTCTCATATCTGGCTTCTTTCACTCCACATTGTATTTTCCAGGTTCATCAATGTGGTTCCATTGAATAAACACCCCATTCATTTTTATGGCTGAATAGCATTCCATTGTATGGCGAGACACTAAGGTTGAGTATTAAAACTCAAGATGGCAGAATCCCCCTCTTTGAGGATCTAAGAACAGTGATGCCTCTCTCATCCCCATTGCTGACCAGAGTCACAGGAACCTCCTGAGAATGCATAACTCAAGGTGTAGAGCTCAATTCAGTCAGATTGCATGAAAAGTCACCTGAAAGCACAGACAAAGTTTTAAAGAAAACATTTTGTGCAATTGACGGTGTTTGGACTATTCAATTCAAGGGCTGTCTGATACCTCAGGACAGCCCTTTCTCGCACTAGAGGTTCTATTCTGCCACTAGGATTTATTCCTGGAAAAAAATGCCTGTTTGGGTGAAATGACACTACTGGTTTAAGCAAAATCCTAGTGGTCATCTAAATTGATTGTTGTGTAGATTATACCCAGCATCATCATCTAATATCCACATTTTAGGTAACCTGAAATCTCTGGGTGTTGGCTAACTGGTCTAAGTATTAATAAGATCAGAGAATGTTGAAAATATGGAGGATGCATTTGCATATTTATTACTCAACATCCTTCCGCTCTAGTCTCCGAAGTGGTCAATGTCCGATTCCCCCAGACCCAGTACTAAGTGGCCCCGAGAGCCCGTGTTCCTCAGGAGCAGGAACCTAGAAAGCAGAGCCGGGACCTACCTGATGGGGTTGAGGACCAGTTAGCCATCCTCCTTTCACAGGCTTTGATTTTTCCTTTGCAAAGATCATGGCTGATGTTCAAAACATAGAGGTGCAAATCAGTGGGGCTGGGGAGACACTTTGGGGGGAGGGCTCATGGTACTCTCCAAGGCAAGGCTCCCCCGAGCATCCTGGCCCAGTTCTTGGCCCCATGCTGGATGCGTGTGGCTCCCTCCCCTGCCCCATTACTGGTTCAGACACTGGAAATTTCATGGTTAACCCAAAGACGTATCTCATTGTACACTGCTCCCTTAGGGAAGAGGAAGTGAGGGGGAAGAGGAGGGAGGAGGGAGAAGAAAGGCGAAAGATGGGGTGGAATGGAGAGGAGGAGAGAAAAACAAAGATGGATTAAAAATTTTAAAGGGCTGATTCTACCCACGCCCCTGTGAACAAATTAATGCATCAAGCAAAACATAAAATATCACCAAACTGAAAGAACCATTACAAATAGTAAAGATAACAGTTCACTTGCTATTAGAAGTCACCCCGAGGCTGTATTTACCTGGACTGCTCAAGGGGCTAGCCCTGTCCCCCAGGGTTGGCACAGGATGGTACTGGTGTTTCTTTGAGCCTGGGTACATCCAGTGGTACCTGCCAATTTCCATTTCAGCTCTGCTGTTCACTGCCAATTTCAGGTGGCAAAGAGTCAGTGTATCTATCTCCAGCAAAGATTCGATATCAGCATTTTAATTTATTCTTTACCATATAGTTAAAGGAAATGGAGAGTTTAAAAATATGCTACGGAAAATGCAACCTTTTAGCATCATCTTCTCAACTCGGTCTGATCATTGGTGCCTCCTTCTCCACTTGAAGTTTATGAAAATGACCAGACCTGCCTTTTATTTCCTCATTTTGGCATCTCCCCCACCCCTCCTGATAGAAGGCTCATTGAGGCAGATCATATTTATGATGGATACCTAGCTTCTCACAATAGTTTTTCTTAGTATATTTTGCTTCCAGACCAACAGCAGCTGCACAAGCAAAGGTGGATACTGACTTAAGCTTACAATGGTGCCCAGTTCCACTCTTGCAAATCTGGCAAGGAACCCCATACCCTGCTGAAGCTTGGGTGAAACTCTTGTCCTCTCACTGGCATGTGCATTTATCTCTGTCACCTCTTAAATCAGTAGCTCAGCAATTTGAACGTTCTGGATTCAATCTCGTCCCAATGATCTCCCAGTATTTTCCAGAGGCTGCTGGTCCTGGCACTACTGCTTACGCCACCCTCCCCGCCATGTTAACAAGTGGGGGTTCAGGTTCCTATCTGGAAATGACTTTACTTTTTACTTCTTAATGGATGGGAAAGAGAAACACCGCATTTGCTTGATATCATTAGTTAAATTAAAACCTTGAAATCTTGAAGCCCAGTTTCCGTGGTCACAAAGATCAATGTATGCCTGAGAATCCCAGAAGAAGGGATTCCATCCCCTGGGGTGACAGAGATACCTACAGATGAAAAAACAACTCTGACATTGGCACAGGCAATGATTCCATCAGAAAATGGGGCTCTCCTCTCCAACTGGTACCTGTGATCATGGAGGCAATAACCCCACAGGCAGACCAATGCGCTAGTCAACTCCATGGGAACCTCAGCAAGCCTTTCTTAAATCCAGGCTCACATGTCTTTGAAGACTCACAAGATCGTTTGGAGTGGGAGGTAGTGATTTGGAGGGAAAAAACAGCTTGGCTTCAAGGTGAAGTAAATATGTCTTTTTTTTTAAAAAAAAAAAGAGAGGCTAGGATCAAAACTGTATGGAGAAACTGTTTGCTGCCGTTCTTGTGACTGATGCTTACAGTTGTAATCCGTGGCATGTTATGAAAGTGTGAGCTATCACACAAAGCACAGGGTATCCATTTCCTCATGAGGCAAGCCCATGAAACAGGTATTATTAGCATTTGACCCTTACGCATATAGACACCGAGGACAATGAGAAGTTGCTTGCCTGAAATCATTCAGGAGGACTGGAAAAGCCTGGAACTGAATCTGCCAATGAACTGCAGAGACTACTTTGAAAGTAGCATGTTAGCCTACTGTGGTCTGGGTATGCGCCGCAAGGTTTTTACTCTGGAGCTATAGGCCTTTTTCTGGATGCGCACTGTTTCTCCTGTGCCTCCTCACTGACTGTTTTAGGTCCTAAACTAGCACGTCATTTTTTGAGTTCTTGCAAATTCTTAACTCTTGGCCACTTCTAGATTGAAATGCTGGCTTCAGTACCCAGGAGAGTCTCTCAGACATGAGTTAGACTTTATTATTTGAAAGCAAACAAAGCTTAGTGGGACTAGAGGAAAAACTCAAAAGGAGGTCCAGTTGCTTTATAGTCTGGTCTACTTCCTCTTGATAAAGTGGCTGGAAGCCCTCCGTAACGGCCTCAAGAGGTTCCCAAGAAGCTTAATCACTCTCCATCTGAAAAATTCATCTTATAGAAGGTATCTCTGCATGCCCAACACACAGCAGATGGCCAATGACTATCTGTTGAACTTTAGTTTAATGCAAGGGAGCACCCTGGGGCCTGTAGACCAAGAAATGGTTCTCCAGGTCTCCTATGTGACCTAGGTCATGCCATCTAAAGGAATCTTTGCATTGGAGACATCCATTGTCTGTCCTTATATTCTCAGATGGAGTGGAAGAAGGCATATCTCCAGGATTCTGGGCCATCAAGCACAGCTGCCAGCAACGCCAATGAAAAAACATGGCCTGCCCAACACTAATTATTGTTTCTGTGAAAATACGGCAGCCATGCCAGAGACACTTAATTCACATAAAAATACAACTCGTCTGGCAGATGGGAAGAGGTGACCAGTGAATGATGTTTTCCAATACTTCCTGGAAGGCCTTTACACAATGCTAAATCTTTACCTATGAAAAGAAAATTAGTTATATTTTGAGCCAAATTTAAATCAAGATATTAGGTATAATGCTTCTTATAACATTTATAAAAAGCTTAACACATGTTTGGTTCTCCAGGACAGGGCCCTGGAACTTCAAAGGGAGTTATATGATTGTCAGGCAAAGTCTGGCATACTAGGTGATTGGTATATGAAAACACTGTTGATTCTGGGCAACTGGCAAGAAACTGGGATACCAGGAAGACTGTGTAGCAGCCTTGTTTCTTCCAGAGGGAAGCCATTAAATGTCTCCTCCTTGAGAGTAGAATACAGAGATGGGCTTAGTCCAAGCTATATTATTGAGGCAGTACAGAAGTGAGTGGTATCTGAGATCCTATTTGTGGTTGTGGTGAGCCTTGGGGGCCCACCAGGAGATACACAGTGGGTGGTACTCACTAAAGGTGGCTATGAACCAACAATTGGAAATTGCAGAAAGGAAAGCCAAATGATGCCTCCCATGCCATTTCCCCCTGTTCTTTGACAACGTGCCTGCGTGTCAAGGCAGAATGAGTGAATTGCAGGTGGGAAAGCTGGTAGCATCTAGGAACTTCTCACTGGCAGCAACCAAGAGACAAAGACTAAGCTTTCTAGAAAGACCATCTTCACTGGACAAGATCTTCGAAAGCTGCGTTGATCAGCCTTTATTTTTAGCTAATATTTAAATACTACAGCAAAGAGTGCTTGGAATATGAGCACAGAGGTCAGCACACAGGGCTTCTTGTTTTGGTAAATAAAGTTTTATTGGCACCCAGCCCCAGCCATTTGTCTTGATATTATCTATGGCTGCTCTCATGTTGTGGTGGTAAGGCTGAACCATAGTAACAGAGACTGTGCGACTGTGCAGCCCAAATATTTATTCTCTGGCCCTTTACAAGTAAAGTGTGCTGATCCCTGCTAGCACATATAGCTATTGCGGCTTGAATCTAGAGAGAAGTTAATGCGACTAATCCAATCAGCCTTCAGAAAGAAAATTTTCTTCTTTTCTCCGATTACACTCGTATTACAATATTCTCTAAAGGGAAATGTTACTTGGCTGGCTAAGGATCAAAATTCTCCTCTCTGGCATTCTCATCTGTCATTTAATCTGCCACTAATAAGCAAAACTATGGTCACGACCAAGATTCTATTCACACTGTGGTTCCTGAGATGTGTTAGCACTCTTCTACACTTCTCAGGTGAGCTGGGAGGACAGAGAAAGGATGGCATTTCAGAGGAGATGGCGGCTCTGTGAATAAATGGACAGAAGAATAAACAGCCAGGTACATTTGCGAGGCTGGGATTTAACCTTCTGTTCTTAGACACCAATATGGGTCTCCTCCCACGCTCCCACGGCCATCCATTCTCCTGGCCAAGCATCTCACATGGACAAACACAGGATCACGTGGAGAGAAAAGGAAGAGAGTGCTTCCCAGCATGCTCTTGTGGCCAGTGTTGGGGATGGGGTGGGAGTGGGGCGCACACCTCAGGGATACGGGCTCTTGTGCATTCTCTCAGTTCTCTCTCATTTTTGTAAGGTTTTCCCTCCTCAATCAACCTGCACTGACTGACAACTAACAGAGAAATGCGATTTCTAGAATTGTAATCTGAATTGAAGTGTGTCCCTCCATTCCAAGAAGGCAAATCTCAATTCCCCAAAAATGGGTCCAAATTCTTTGTCTAGTGAATTAGCAAGGCCAAGTTTCGAGAAGTGGGCTCATGGCAACAATATAAAAGTAGGGGAGGCACCAAATGGCTTGTTGAGATCTTCTCCACAATTAAACTTTCTAAAAAAATGAAAGCAAGCTGTCTCCTACCTACCAAATATGTCCAGCACCATCTGGCTGCCAGGCTTTGCTCCCCAGCCTAGTCCCCAGACACCCTCTCTTCAAATGTCCTCCTTGGCAGGTTCTCATGGAGAAAAACTGAAGCTCAAACTTTTTGGTAACTTATTTGTATAATTAAGTCTGAAAAGATGAATTAAAAAAAATCTCAAAATGGAATGACTTACAGATCTCCAGGAGTAGGGTAACATGTTAAATACGTGCTGTGGGTTTTGAGCAGTTTTAAAGACTAGAGGAGTGATTTTCTTCCTAACAAGAGAGAAGGCAGGTCAAAAGCATCTACATTTTGCTAAACAAATTTTAAAATAACACAAAAAAGAAAGAAATTTTATCTATTTGATTGAAAAGATTGAAGTGGATGTGTTTATTTTATACAGTCTACATAAAAAATTCAACAATTGGTATACATTTCTTACTCCATGCCCTGCAATTTATTTTAAATGATACATTATTTCTCATTTAGCAATTTTTCTTCCTATGTGCTTAGGAATTCAATTTGATGCATGGAATGCTGGATTTTAGCTCAGCAATGACCATAGGAACTTAACTAGTTGGATTCTAATTGTTTTAGTAGATTCTAATTTCCTACATTTAATAAAAATAATTTTATCACGAACACTTGGATCTTTTCTCACACAATAGAGTAATTGATTCCATTGATTTTCTACTCGGCGATTATGCACTCCCAACTAGTCCAGATGCATTGGTTTTCAGAAATGAATTGACATCAAATAATGCTCCCGTGAAATAAATAGAACCCTAATTCTATCTATTACTGAGTCTCATGATTTCATTTTCCTTTGAGTCTGTCTTATTCATTTCCTTCACTTATTCCATTTCAGTGAATCTGCTTACTCAATCCTCACACTCTGATTTAATTTAATGCTTCCAATTAAAAAACTGTCATTAGTAATAATTTGGCATTTCTCACACCTGTCTGAGGGAACCTACTTGCTTTCATTAACAATTCCCTAATAGCTACTAAATACTTTGTGAGAATTTTGATCATCGGTAGTATTCTGTGACAAAGGCTAATGTTTCAAAATAACACATGGCTTTCTCTTTTTAAGGCCTGCCATCATTATTGTTTAAAATGGCAACAGAGTTGTTCTGATTTAAGGAAAGAGCACTTTGTCTTGTCAAACGGCCCAGGAAGGGACAACAACTAGAAAATCTCAGGTCAATGAAAAAGTGACGTGTTATTTATAGTCTTAATAAATTCTTAATGAGCAATGCATTAATTATCTATCAAAAGTAGAGAATCCACAAGCGACCAAGTAATAGACCTTGGGCAATAATACCCTAAATTAAGAAGCACCGACTATTGAAAATAAATGGGAAAGCAGGGATAGAAGAGGAAAAAAATTCACTGCATACAAAATTCTGGGGGGCATAGCAAAATGTATAGAATTAAATTGAGTAAATTAAACCCCTTGCTGAAAAGCATAAAAGGAAAGGGCGGAAAAAAAAAGATCCACCAGGTCAGCAATTATAAAATGCGTTTCTAATTATGTTATTGTAAAAATGTTCATTTCAATGAAGTAAACATTTCTTTTGTAAATTTCAAATGAAACCCAAAGGAACACTGGACTGATCCGCATGCAGCAGCATCTGTGATGGTTGCTTTATGCCTCCACGTGCCCTGAATGATAATGGCTGAGCAAACGAGGACCCTATAAAAATGAGTCTTGGGTGAGTTTTGACTTTGTGCAGCTGGTACACGAACTTGTTCTTCCAAATGATGATGACTCTATCAGCCAGACTCAGAGCAACATTTTGGTGAAGGGGGGCGCACAGCCATCACAGTCTTGTTGCGGCAGAAAAAACACACAACCCCCGCCTGTATTCATGCTTTAGCATGCACTCGGCATGAAAGGTTATCTGGCAGTAACTTGCTCATTATACATTATTCACTTAACAGCAAGTGGTTATCTATTTTCCTTTAAAAAAAATTCCTCTGGGAATTAGATCTTGCTTTTAATTTTGTCGCTAAAACCACAGCTAATGAGTCTTCACATACAGACTGTCAATGGATGTACTAGCCTTTGGTAAATTTGTTATTAATAATATTTGTCATAATAACAGCACTCCATAAGACTGATGATGAGATACTAATTTGTGTACTGAGTCGTCTATATTTGTTTTATGCGAGCTGCATGCCTTTGGAGAGAAAGCCATAAGGTTTGGTTGTAGCTTTTTAGATTTTTTTTTTCAGAAACCAAATGATTTCATCTGAGACTAGCAAACACCAGGTTAAAAAAAGTATGTAAAAAACAGTCATTAGTTTTAGTTCATACAACTGTGATAGCATTTTGATGCTATCAACTGTGAGAGGGTTCCTTGCGGCAATAGGATTGTTAAATGATTACAGCCCCAAACTTCACCTCTAATCATTATGGAAACGACTCTTTCAACTGTATCTTGGTTCCTCAGCTTCATAAATATTCCCAGGAGCTTATCTTAATGTTATTTGCCCATTCCTATCAGTGAAGAATATATGCTATATAAGAAGCAATATGGGCTGGCTTTTTGGGGGGAGGGGGCACACCCGGAAATGCTCAGGGGTTCCTCCTGGCTCTACAAACAGGAGTCATTCATGGTGGTACTTTGGGGACCATATAGGATGCCAGGGACTGAACCCAGGTTGGCAATGTACAAGGCAAGCGCCCTACCCACTGTACTAACAGTCCAACCCCATGGTTTATTGAAAAAAATCTTTGTCCTGTTTGCTTTTTTTGTTGTTGTTGGACACAGACATTGAAACGAGCAAGCAATTTTTTAAAAGCATTTGGACTAAACGCTCCTAAACCATCCACTTCAAAACTGTTAGAAGGTGTCATATCTACTGGATCATACTTTAAAGTTTTAATTAATTAACCAAAGCAAGCACAAGGTTTGGGATGCCATGTAATTAGTGTGTACAGGAAGGAATTACATGTAGAAGCAAGCAGAACTCCCCAAGCATGCTGTGAGGTGGAAATGCAGGCACAGCATGGGAGTAAAATGGTTGGCGAGCTGCAATTTCAGACAATTCCACCTATATATTGATAAGCTAAACCGAGTTGTACCTCCAACCCAGAAAATGACTGCTACTGTTTTATGCCTATCAGTGGGTCTGGGGACACGAAAAATAACCTGCTGATTTTGGATCTGAGAGCCGCTGTGGTCAGGAAACAAGCACCCGTCTTCTGGACAGCCCGTAACTTTGGCTGAAGCAAACAGATTCCCAAACAGTGGCTGATTTGGGGGCACCGAACCTGAAGTCAGTCATCATCCAGGAAAAGACAAGATTAATTTTAACAGTTATTTTCTTACTGCCAAACACATTTAAAAAAAAAGTTATCCTGCATGTCAAAATTAGGATGTGTTCTATGGTTCCCATTTTAAAAATCAGAGATCGGAATTTGATTAACCTTTTGTCCCCCAGATCTCCAAGTTCTAAACAGCCGAAGCCCCCTTCGCCCCCCCTCCTCCGCCCTCCACATATTTATCAGCACTAGATGGCAGAGGTGACATCCCGCCTCTCTAAATCCAACTGTAAAGGCTATTGTACGTTAAAGTTCGGGCTTGATTCGCGGAAAGAGCAATCATGTTCAATAAGAAAATTCGAAAATTGTCCCAATTGCTACAGCCTCAGCAGAACCCAGCTATATTTCATATGCGAGCCCCCCATATATATCCTCCTCAGCAGTAACGGAAAACAATGCATTCCACGCCCCTGGAATATAACATGCAGAACATAAGACCTAAGTTAGGACTCATTATGGTAAAAAAAAAAAACACATAGTTTTCCCAATCCAGCTACCCAAGGTGACAGACTGCAGACATTCTCCCAGAAGTATCAGGTTGGGTAGGAAGCGTTGGAACAGGAATGAAGAAAGGCTGCACTATTAACATCAGCCTACAGGAAAACAAAACAAAACAAAACAAAACAAACCCCACACCATAAACCACCCTGCAAGCAAGTCCATGCCATAGGAGTTTTTCAGAGCTATTTTACATGAGACACAAAATCAGGCTAACCCTTTTCAAGCACCCCCAGTGAAAAGCTTGAAACAGGCTCTTGTCAGAGCGCTGGGTACCTTTTCTCTCTTGGCTTTGTTCAGTATTTTCCTCGGTTGCAGTTTCCATGGCTGGTTTCATACCATCCACCAAAAATGCTTTTCCCCCACTCCTCCCCGCACACACTTTTTCCCTCCTCTTGCTTTTCTTTGAGACTCCCCTCCGGTCTTATTTACACCCGTGTGATTGAGAGGTTCTGTTCTGCGCTACAGTCCATCACAATCCTTTCCAAGATGCAGAAGTCTCGTCCGCGGCAATTTCCCTCTGCCTACTGGTCCATAAAGACAGCTGCCAAGGAGCCGGCAGCCATACGTCACCGAGGATCCCAGTTATAAAACAGCCTTTCTGTGCGGCTGTGCCTCAATGCGGCTCCCAATGCGGCTTTGAGGGGGCACAGCCTGCTCCCCACTCTTCGCTCCCCTCCCCTCGCCCAGCTCGCTCTCTCGCTCTCCTACACACGCTCTTTCTGCTGCTTCTTGCTCCCTGCCGACTGCACCCGATGCATGCTAATTAATTCTCCCAGGAAAGAATAGATTCGTGACATCAGAGAACGGCTGAGGAGGAGAAAGAAAAGAGCCCCCTCCCACCACGTGACTCAGCTGATCCGCCACCCCTTCTGTGGTCTGTCTCTGGAGGCCACCAGCCTGCCTCCCCCGCCCCCAAACAACCCAACAACTACTTCCTTTCCTGTGGGACCCCCTTCCAGGGCCATCTCTCCCCTCCCCTCTTCTCCCCTCCCTTCCTCTCCCCTCTCCTCCTCTCCCCCTCCTCTCCCCTCCCCTCCTCGCCTCTCACCTCCCTTTCCTGTAAGCTTTCTCTAATATATGCCTCCATACACTCTCCAGGCAGTGTTACTTAAACATACATATACTAAAGAGAGGAACAAACATATAGCAGAAGGAAGCAAACCCGCACATGGCGATTAAGGATAGAAGTGTAGCAATTCAGTATCAGGACCCCGTTCCTGGTCAACAGCTAGCATATGTGAGAGAGAAACCCAAGTTTAAGCCTGATGCATTCAAAAGCAGCCCTCTGTATTTAAAATGAGTGTAATATGTTCTAAGCACTCCTAAGGTGCATTTGGGTGACTTCTGGAAATGAAAATCTAAGTAGACTTGAGTGGTTATTTCTACAAGGAGGTTTAGATATCAGAACCACTACTTCAAGGTCAAAAAGGCATTTATCTGCGAGATTACTCGGAATGTTTGAAGGAAAATAATAAAGATGATTTGGATGGCTGGGTTTCCAAGCCTTTCTGTAAACCCAGACCCCCATTGCAATGGCACTTAGGCAACGTTTTTAACCCATTCAAGCATCTGAATTTGGCCATGTGTTCTGTGCAATGGTTGTATGTGGAAGGGAACCTGGGGCTTCGTACACACAAAACATGTGTTCTACCACGCACCACATCCCCAGCTCCCTAATAACCTGATCTCTTAATGCATTCTTTTAGAGACTCCCCAAAGCAGCCTACATTTAATACCTCTGGCTCAGTGAAACCAAAAAGATTTTAAAAACCAGTTTAGCCTGTTTCAACATTTTTTCACTTTACATCTCATTTTTCACTTTGACCCTCATCCTAGAAGCCCACACCCACAAGCAATCCCCGCCTCCCCGTCAGGACCCCAGGCAATCCGACTGCCTCCTGTGTCCACAGCACTGAATGTGCAGCCTGAAATGCACAGAGATCACTTTGTGATGTCATTAATTCCCTGGGAAAACCCAATGACACGTCTAGGCAGAGGTTCTTAAACATATTGCGAAGACACTTAGGGGCCATTCAGAAATGTGAACATAGTTGCTTCGTGGTAGACTTGTCCTTGCTCAGCAGTCCAACCGAAAGTTCACAGCAAAACAAAAATTCAGTTCGGCACAAAGAGGAGACAATGGTGATGTGTCTGCATGATGTCTTCTTCTACGAGAGGAGACATCACACAGGTGGCTATGTGGTGAGGGTTTCCAAAGCGTTGAGAAAAATCATGCAATTATCGACAAGGCAGAATCATCTTTTTGCCTATTAAGTTTATTTTAAAATGTTGATAGAAGCAAATGTTGATATGGAAGATATTCTAACATTGTGTACCTATGTGGTGCTGAGGATGGAACCCAGAACACTACTGCCTAGCCAGACTCTCTCTCTTTCTCTCTCTGGTTTCTGGGGTACATCTAGAGGTACACAGAGCTTACTACTGGCTCTGTGCCCAGGGATAACTCCTGGTGTGGTTTGGGGGACTATATGCGGTGCTGAGGATCAAACCCCGGGTCAGCCAAGTGCAAGGTAAGTGGCCAACCTGATGTACTCATTCTCTAACTCTGAAACGGTCTTCATTTTAGAACCATTCTAGTTTTGTATTTGAACTCAAAACCATGGGATAAAACAGTCACAAACTCTCCAGTTGAACTAATTCTCCTTGAACTAATTGCATCCTAAAAACTACTTGCCAATGGGCAATTCATTACTTTGTCTTATTTATAACTCCATTGTTTTCTTTTCTTTAGGCTGATCTTGTATAAGTCTAGAAGTACCCACCTTATAAAAAGCCTTAAAACCTCATTTGTATTCCTCTAAAACCACTGAAATCAAAGGAAAATTTGTTAACAGCTAGCAAGAAAAGAGCAAACTTAAAATGCTTCTGATACATGAATACATTTGGGGCCTGAAAAACTCAATGTGTCAAATGAGTAAGATAGACAAGGTCTCTCAGCTGAGAATAAATTCCATGAGGCCCATACCTATAGGACAGTCTGGTTGAAATTGAGAATATTTCTGGCACACCCAAAACAGCAAAACAAATGGACACATTAATTGAGCCCTATAAAATTGCAACACTAAGCTAAGAATAGCAGTTATATAGTTCAGCTTAAATAGTTGTAAATCTGTAGAATTCCAGGCAGTTTGGAACAGAAGAGACAGTACAGGGATTAAAACGCTTACTGTGGCTGTATGTGGTTAGATTCCCAACACCACAGATGCCCCCTATACACTGCCAGAATTGATCCCTGAGCACAGAGCCAGGAGCAAACCCTGAGCACTGTCAGGTGTTGCCCAATCCTCCTCTATCCCTAAAATTTCAGCCAGTTCAGCACACATGCACAGAATAACCTTCCAAGAGATGACATCTACATGGAATGTAGCCATCTCCCCGAACCACCTGCTCACAGGCACGGAGAACCCTCAACAACCAAGTGGGTGGAGGGGGAGAGAGTTGGTGGAAAGCTTTGCAGACTTGAGTTGGCTCCATCGATACATAGAAACCTATGTGGGTAGGAAAGGCAAAGCGGGAAAGAGCGCCAAGAAAAATTAAAATTCAGGCAAAAGGGGAAAAAAAGATTATTGTTGAAAGCTGGGGAAAGGTTTCTTCTAACAGAGCGTGGGGCGTGAGCAGTGGGAGGGAAATGAGAGGAGGTAGAGAACTAGATAGGTCGGACACCTTGCTAATCTCGGGGTGGGGGGGAAGGCTCTGGGGGACTCGAAAGGCTCAGAAGCCGATCAGCTCTGTGCTTGACAAAGGTCATCCTCCTGGCATGTGAAAGCCAGAGTGGGGCAGGGTGGGGCTAGGCTGCCTGACTAATTTGGAGTCTTCTGAAATGGTGCCAGTAAGAGGCACTGGGGGTGTGAACTGCAGGAGGAGGAAATGAAGATCCCTCGGATGCTCATGGGGCCTTGAGGAGGAGAAGGATAAGGACCTGAAGGGGAGTCTGGAGTTTCCAGTTTGGATGAGTGAGGAGGCGATGGGCTGCAAAACTAAATGGAGAAACACAGAAGAAGGAGACTTTGAGGAGGGCCTGGAGCTCTTCTGTGCAGACTGTCTCAGGAGTACAGGAAGTCCCACTATGCTCCAATACCCTCTCAGAAATTCACCTGTCTAGAACAGTGACCTGCTTGCCTCTACCAATACCAGCCAGAGGACTGAATGGATTTGATTTTCATGATCACTTTAGCCATGACCATTGCTGATCTATTTACTCACTGGCTCTCTTCCTCTAGGATATAAGCTTGGAGGAGCAGAAATTTCAGTTTTGTTCTCTTCTATATCACCACCAGTTCCTAGAACCATCCATGGCACACAACTGCCCCCCCAAGATGAATGTCTCCCCCAAGATGAATGTTTTGATCTTTTTCTTCCAATTAAAAAAAATTTATTAGTGAAACACCATGAGGTACAGTTGTAGACTTACAAATTTTTGTGCTTGGGTTTCAATTATCACGGTATCACGGCCCTTCCGTTGTTCATCGATTTGCTCGAGCGGGCCCAGTAACGTCTCCGTCATGAGACTTGTTGTTACTGTGTTTGGCATATCGAATACATCATGGGTAGCTTGCCAGGCTCTGCTGTGCGGGTGAGATACTCTCGGTAGCTTGCCGGGCTCTCCAAGAGGGGCGGAGGAATCGAACTCAGGTCGGCCATGTTGGCCGCTTGTAAGGCAAACGCCCTACCACTGTGCTATCGCTCCCCATCCCTCCACCAGTGCCCATTTTCCACCACCGCGGGTCCCAGTATCCCTCCCACTCCCCATCCCCCCATCTCACCCTGCCTCTGTGGCAGGGCATTCCCTTTTTTCTCTCTCTCCTTTTGAGTTCTGTGGTTTGCATTGAGTGACAATCATGTTCGATCTATAGTCTACTTTCAGCATGCATCTCCCATCCTGGGAGGATTCTCCCAACACTCTTTATTTGGTGCTCCCTTCTCTCTCTGAGCTCCCGAAAAGGGAACTAGCATGTGTGACTGGCCTCCAAGACATGGAGCAAACCTCCTGGTACTAATCTCGGCCACTCTCCCCCAAGATGAATTTTAAATTAACAGTGAACAGATGACCAGGGACAGACAGAGACTACAAACACACACACAGCACTAAGAAACGGAACAGAGACTTTTACAAAACATAACACAAACACTGGGAACTGCATAAGAGCGTTGCTTGACTTATTCTTAGTCATTAAGTACATAGTCCCCATGGCCAAAGAACAATCATAGTATAAAAAGGGCTTCAAGCTTAAGCTTGATATTGATTCATTTTCCAACTGGTCAAGGTGATTTTTTTTTCTTTTATGATCTATTACATCAATGATCTACCCACATCTATTTTGTCACAAATCAACTTGGCCACCAATTCCACTGTGGGTATCTGTGTGTGGTATGTGTGTGTAGGGGTAACCATACCACTGAGCAGTTCAATACCAGCTGGGGGGCCTGACATTTAACTCAATTCTAACACTACCTAGCTGGTGACAGTGTCTGATCCCCCAGGTTAAGAGCTCAGTTCCACAAGCCTGTTCCCTCCACCATTTCAGCTGCCAAATGCAAATTCAGGCTAAGCTTTTGCTTCTTAACCAATTGAATGTAGACCCCAGACGTTCCAATGACCTCACCTTAGGTTCCATTAATTTGCTAGCGTGTCTCACAGAGCTCTTAGAAACATTTTATTTTCCATGTTAAGAGG